TAACTAGGCATCCAACCCTATAAAATTTTACTTGCATGTCGTGTGAGACTTTTCCATTATAATTCTTTCGTCAGGTCTTGCTTGCTCTTTAGTTAAAAATGAAAATGTTCTTTTCCCTTGTAATATGAATTGTGATAGTATTTTTCCCCCAAACTAAGATGTTCACCCACATTGAGTTACAGTAATTCCAATCTTAACAGTTTCAAGTGAGAACATTTAAATGTTCTTATTAGAAACAAACTATGACGAAAGTGCTTCCTTTCCCCCCATCTTTTCCTAAATATTATCTTTTCTCCTTTGATGGGTCACATGCACTAGCAGTACCAGCAGAAATACCATGACATCATTCGTTCATTAATACTCCTTCCCTCTACTTGCCCAGTATCAATCTGAGGTTTAATAAAGTCAGAAAGTGAACAAAACAGAAGACCGTCAACTTCTATCCATTCTACCCGTCTTCTCTAGACCTCTGTCTCCCCTACGCCGCTCTGACTTTGCCCTGGCCACACGCGCCGGCGGCTCACAGCGGCTGCCCCCGGAAGCCCTGAGGGTCGCCGAGGTCGCCGCTCCCCGGTGCCCCTCGCCGGAGCGCCAGGGCCTCCCGCCCCGCGGCCCGGCAAACAGACCCCTGCTCCGCGGCCAACGTGCGGCACCGACCTGCTGACACCCCTCTTTCACAACCCCGTCCTTCCTTCCCTTTCAAGGCGCGCCTGTCACAAGCTCTAATACTTTGTTTTTCACACTGTGTTCAACATGCACAGGGTGTTTAATATCCAAATAAGTTCTGAACAAACTATGTTAATTAAGTCAAGTCATAACCTCATTTTTCCCTTACTACAAAATGAGGCAATTTAAAAAGTGAAGCGTGTAAAGGTTGCAGGTTACTCTTGCAAGCTGCCTAAGCTGGCCGAGGCCAGCTGAAGGACACCCACGCTCGAGCGTGGCTGAGTACGGACATCTGTGTGTTGGTGGGCTTCCTGAAAAAAGGAAAATGCAAACGCTCCGGCCTTCTGCAGCAGCACCTCCAGAATGCAAAGGAGGCAAACTCCACAGTGACCGCCGCCGTGAGCCTCAGCAGCAGTCACGGTTTTGAGGCGCCCATAAAAAAGGCTGCCATATCACAGCAAAAGCAGAACACAGGACGAGATGAATTTCTTAACCTGTCTTACTGCCTTTACAGCAGCGCTGCAAACCTGGCTCCGTTTCCTGACGCACTGTTTACAAGTGACATCTACAAACTGGGTGTATTAAAGGCAAACATTTCAATGATGACTTTCATTCCTTTGCCTTCTCCACTGGCAAGGGGGAAATTCCAGCCCTCACCTCAGTCTGCTTTCTAAACTCCACTAACCACGCCTGCTGTTTGGGCCACCAAGGAAGAAGACACAGTCTGAGAGAGGATCTTCCCGTCCCTCCGCCGTCCTGGTCGTCATGGGCTGTCCATTCACAGAGACCCACAGTGACACCCATTTATAGTTCTCAGTATCCTCCAAAGAGAGGGGACTCTCTTTCAATGTTTGCACTTGGTGTCCTTGTCGCCGAGCCTAGTTTATGTGCAACCCAACATAAAATAGCCACATTCCTGATCCTGCCACTAAATTTTGCAATCCGCTCTGTAAAGATTAATCTAGAAATGTCACTTCCAGATTTAAAAAGTTGTACTTATCCCAAAACTGAAGGTTAAAATGCACAACTAAAACATTAACTTTCCAACAATTCTTGTAAGACAACATTCTTATTTACAGTAGAATAAACAAATGAGCTAGTCACAAGTTGAAATTTAAACACTTTTCAAAGCAAAATTTAAAAAAACCATTAGGGAGTTTCCGACTTTTTACAATGGGTCGCACTTGCCCTCGGCCGTCCCACAGCACGCCTGGACACACGGTGGTCGCGAATTTCTTTTTTGGCGGGTTGGGGATGGAGGCTCAGAGCTTTTGTTTGAATTCCCAGATCCTGCACTCATTTGCCTGGACACACAGAACGGTGATGTTGGCTCCAACTGTGCTGGTGAGGGAAGTTATTTAAGATCCTCACCCGCCAGGGAAGCTGTGGCTTCAGAAGTTACTAAGAGGAGGTTTCACACGCAAGCAGCCAGATGAACCCGTCCCCTGGGCTGGGAACACACACCGAGCTCGCAGCCGCTGTCCCTGGAGTTGCTCATCAATTGCTCCACAACAGCAGAAGGCTCACTCCGAACTGCAGCCCCCGAGGCCGACCGCAAGGACGACAGAGCAAGGGGCGCGGGCCCTCCCCGCTCCTGGGGCGGACCCCACAGCCCCCGCCCCTCCCAAACCGCCGCCCTGTCCGCTCCACGGACACGTGCACCCCCCGCCCCCACCCCGCCAGCCCTGCCCGCGTTCTTGCTCCCCTGGAGAGGACAAGGTCCACATCATCCCCTCGTCCCCAGCTTTTGATCTCCATTTCCCAAGAGACCTCGTTTCGACACCCGCAGGCCCTGCGTGTCCTTCAGCCCAGCCGGTCGCCCTCAGGCCCCCCGAAGCGCAGCCCGCAGGCGCCGGGAGCGCTGGTTTCCCCCCAGGTGACAGGTGTGCGCTGCAGGTCACCCGCGTCAGCACTGCCCGCGCTGAGCCGCGGTGGACACGCTCCCTCAAGGGTGCGACACTGGGCAGCTCCATGGGACTCTCTCTCAGACGAGAAACCGCAAAGAGCTGGAATTCTCTCCAACTCTGCATCAAAAACCTACGGCTTTAGGCAACCCAGACGTATTCCCTAAAGGCTAAGGCATTAAACCGCAGCGAGGAAAGCGTTCAGGCGCCCTTCGACCGGTTCGAGGCTCCTTGGCTCAGGTGCTGCCTTCCCGACCGAGGCGGACAACGCCCAGGCAGCGTGCACAGCAGGGCCTCCGCACCTGGGCCCGCGGGTGAGGAACGTTTCAGGGGCGGAGGGGGCCAAGCAGCGCACAGATCAGCGTGCAAACTCTGAAGCGCACAATTTCCACTCACGAGTGGGTCTGGGACCCACTCTATCATCGTCTGCCCCGAGTCAGTGACCAGAAAAGCATCGAGTAGTCCTTCCCCAGAGTGAGCCACGGTGTCACCAAGAACTTACACAGCATCTGCTCACGGGACCCACTCACAGCCCGCGCTGTAAAAAAGAGCGAAACAGGGACCGAGAAAGCAGAGGGGACTTTCAAAGTCCATGCCCTCTGTATGGTGGTAACCTCTTTTAAACTATCATCTCATGAGGGATTTTTTTAATCCCAGGTTAAGACAAAAGAATTCCCAGATGCTGTCTTCGTGCTATTGTCCATTTTAAGTAATAAATCAAGGATGTTGAAAAACACAGTAAGTGGAACTGACACATTTTTCCTCAAAACCAGGAGCCCTCCCTCATCCCAGAGGGAAGCAGCCGGCTTCCCCGGCCACCAGGAAGGACCCTGGACGGACACTCCCGTGGGTCAGGACAGCCGCGCGGGGGACGCATGGGCCACGTCTGAGGCCGGCCAAGGAGTCCTGCGTCACATTTCAAAAATGAAATCCTGTCATTATGCATTACAGGAAGCAAACACCATAAAAACTAAGAAAATGACAGTCGTCAGACGTACTTTACTCTAAAAGTACCTCTTTGAAGCTCAGAAGGTCATTGTTTTGAGGGAAGTTCTTCAGTTGAACAAGAACCTGTGAACTGGGGAGCTACGGACTGTGACATCATGAAGCCACATGACTCCAACTGTCCCCTGCTTGGCTTCAGCGTGACAGCTGGCAGGGACCACCCCCCAAGGGCGGGACGCAGGGACGGCGGCCACAGCCCAGAAAGCGCAATCTGAGCCGCACCTGCGTCCCTGTTGGAAATGTTAAAAACCTTAAGTGCAGAGTTTTCGGTCCCATTGGCGCTCTTGTCCCTCAATTACTTCACCAACTGCAGGCCAGCCCACGAGGGCACAGCCGTCCTCGCCGGGAGCACGCGGCGCGGCTGAGACGCAAAACCAGTTCCCGCTGGCACCCCGACACCTGAGGGGTAAAAATCCCAACTCTAAGTGACCGCGCCGCCGGCAGACTCTCCATGCGAGGGGAAGGCGGCACGGGGGGGGCGAGGACAATCCACGTGACAGCCGGTCCCCACAGAAGCAGGCCGCCAGTGCCGAGAAGCCAGAGCCGGACCCCAGCACGACGTCAGGCACGGGGCCGGGCACCCGTGGGCAGGGAAGTGACCCCGTGGGGTGACAGCCTTGGCAGAGAAAAATGGACTTACCTTTCCTTGTCACATGGGCCCCCAGACAGCCCTCTACAGAGAAATCCATGCTTGCGGTCGACATCAGTAAGTGATCATTTCCAACAACAGCATCACGTACTTTCACTCCTAATTCAACACTGGCAGCCACTACATTTCAGAGCACAATCTTCTCATGATTTTATATAGTCATGTGCAATTTTTTCTCCTTCATCTTTAAAAGTTAACATATTTACTAAGTTGCAAATATCTCTTCTGCATCTTCAATATTTACATATCCCAGCTCTTCCCTTCTAATATCTGTACTTTCGGCCTTTCTAAACATTGCTAAACTATGACTGAAGAGCACTTTTCTTCCTACTAAAAGTGCCCAAGACTGTTTTATCGTGTGTGTCACACTCTTATTTTTATTACAACCTTTTTGAGGTGAAAAAGATGTTGTTCCTGGAACCAAAAGATACTGGAATCTGACTTAAAATGAAGCCTCAGCATTAATCTCTCTGGAGTAATATACAGTATGGCTAACTCAGTTTCAATAAAACATGTTCTGACTTACATAGTAAATTTCTATTCTTCCATACAGTGCACCTCAAATACAAAACATATTCAACCAATGTTCCGATAAACCTAGAAATATGAAATACTTAAGAAAAACAAAAATACCAGTCTCTGAACTGCAAATTATACCACAAATATGAATATTTGATGAAATGGAGTTAACAGAAAAATCTGAAAGATGTGACTGGATAGGAAGTGATATCTTTCTTTGATTTTGTGATTAACAGGTTTTTATTGGTAGTAAACTAGAGCAAACAATCAGAATAATACATATGCAGTTTTAAGTACACACAATAAAAGTTATTAAAGAAATTCAAAACCTGTATAAAACTAAACACTGGAGGAAAATCATACATCTTAAGATACAGTGGTAAGGCCCTGTCCGCCCTTCGATTACAGCTTGTACTCTGCACCCAACAGAACTGAACCGCACTTACCAAAATAAGAAATACAGACTTTTTAGAATCAAGTGTATTTAAGAGGGTTAAACACATTTTCTAAGCATCTTGCAGTGACAAGTAGGTGACCCTTCAGCTGGGAAAGCACACTTAGGGAGGAAAGCAGGGGGCGGGGAGGGGGCATTAACTAGTCTTTTGTAACCATTGTAATAATTTCTTATTTTCCAAACACTGCTTCATGACAGAAGTGTCTCACACTTGCACAATATTACTTTATTATACATGGAGCCTGTGGTAGGCTGGTTACACAATAAGACGGCAAACAAACAGTGGTACTTTCCTGACGTCAGAAGAGTACGTAAGACTGAAACATCACCAAAAGTACATAAAAACTCATCAGCATAAACACCAAAGTACATTAAAAAATATAATCAGGAAAAAAAATACAATGGCTAAAAAGTGGTTTAGAGCAGAGCCACTGGTGTCAGCAGCTTCGAATGGCAATTAGGGTTGAAAGCAAGTTTCGATGACTTTCCAAGACCCCTGTACAATACTGACGGACGCACCCCTCAGGTGGACGCCACGGGCTGCAATTTCAGAGCTTCCGACGTCACTGCGAAAGGCAGGCACGGCCTCCCCCTCACGCCAGCTCTGCCACCAGTTGGAATTACAACCTCATTAACATCTACAGCTCGACTACATGGGACTTTATTATACATGAAGATCTGTATAGTTTTTTTGTTGTTTTTTTTAAAAGTGGGGGTTGGCGGATGTTTATCTTATTGTTTGGTACTTGGATGCCATAGGCATATAAAATGCGTAATGAATTACCTATTGAAGTGTAACTCATTCTACAATTTAAATTGTCAAGACAGGAAGAGAGAACAAGGCAAGCCCAGAACTCTTAGAAAGAGGGTAAAGAAGAAAAAGGGGGGGGGAGAGAACCCAGAAGTGTGGGTGACCTATAGTAACGTAAACAAAGAGGACAGTGTCTTTAGGCTATATATAATAACAGCACACACCCCAAAACTCAAAGAACCATGTAATTCCAACGTCGGTTCTAACACTGGAACCCACCGTCTGGGCTTCAACACTGTGCCAGACGTCAGCGACTCAATGTGAAATCACAGCCTTGCCACAGGTGGGGAAGGAGAGGGTGCCTTTCTTCTTCTCCTTTTCCTAAAGCTATCATTCCAGGCTTTGATCAAAGACCCAAGAATATTTGTCCTACCAGGCTGGAATGAATGTGGTTTGGAAGTTCAGAGTACATTGAAAAGCTGCAAGAGAATATAGGTAGCCAACATCTCAGAATTTTGGATCAGCCCAGATGGAGACAGCAATTTGAAATGTTTTCGATCCCTTAACTCAGGTGACGAAACATGAATCCTACAGCCCAGAGCAATTTGAAATGTTTTCGATCCCTTACTTAAATGAGGAAACATATACCATACTATCTGTAAATTGGATATTCCATTACAGTGATAACGTATAGAATTCCCATGCGTTATTACACTTTCCTGAGAGTAAAGGAATTAGAATAACCTTAATCCTAGCAACAAAATTTTTTTGTGTTTTTTTGTTTTGTTTTTTTGTAGGATTTTTTTTTTGTTTTTTATTTTTTTTATTTTTTTGCCTTTAAAACTTTTGGGCTATTCCCTGACGATCTATACATGTAAATTTGATTGCTAAACATTGTCACTTTGAATGTCAAACTATTTTTAATCTATTGATTTTGATTAAAAATCATAATAGAAACAGCTAAAATCACACTAACAAAATAAACTAAATGTGAAAAGTTGCATTGAAAGGGCATTACATTATTCTCAATAGGATCGTGTACAAACATTCCAATGGCAGTGTTCTCAAAACAAAACAAAATGACATTAGAAGGCCTCCAGCCCGGTCACCTGGGGACCTTACCTGTAACTCTGGCTGGTGGGCGTCTTGACTCTTGTACTACATGGCTCACTTACATCAGACATCATATTTGTGTACCCTGAGAAATCGGACACTGAAGTCCTGACTCTATGGTCCACTTCTCCATTAGAGTTGCTGACAAAGGTCATTGGCACCCTGCTGCCCGACTTAAACTGCGAGCCGAACGCTTGTGCGAAGTTCTCGATCTGGTACGTCGTTCTAGGCTCTACGTCTTTCTGAGGATCCATCTGGCTGGCTAACTCCTGAGACGGGATCTGAAAGCTGGTTGAGGACTCCAAGTTCTTCTGCTGTTCCTTCTGGCTAGTCAGTTTCTGAGACGAGGGCTGGAAGGCCGACGAAGTCTCCAAGTTCTTCTGAGAATCAATCAGGTCGTCCAGCTCCTGAGAAGGCGTCAGCTGCTGGTGGGCAGCGTCCAAAGCAGACAGGTACAGCCCTGGCTGAGATCCGAACAGCATCCCAAAAGGAGGCTTTGGCAACGAAGATGGCAACACTGAGGTAACAGATTGGCCGAAACCACACTCCAAAGGAGACGTAGTGTATATCTGTTTTTCTGGGAATAAAGTGTGGTTGTGGAGAGGTGAGGACAAGCTGACAAACTGGAAGCCGTGTCCAAGGGCAAAACCTGCATTCGTGGATTTCTCAAAAGCCTGCTGGAGGTATTTGGAGTATTCTTGCAACACACTCGCCTTGTCACTGGCAGGGGTCTGGGCGCCGGGGCTCAAGTTCTCCTCCGGAACCAGCTCTGAGTGTTCTCCTGAGGTGTGCAAATCCACGCGGGGCTCGGTTAGGTTGAAAGGATCCTCCTTCTGGCTCTCCGACTTGCTGGAGTACTGATCCAAAATACTCTGCAACACCTCGTCAGGGATGCCAGACTTGTCGTGACAAGACTTAATTTCAGTATTTAGCGCTGAGGAGTCGATAAGCGACAGTGGGGCCTCACTGTCCAGGACACTGACGCCCGCAGACTGAATGACAGACTGCTGGGAGACCATGTGTCCCACGTTGATCGAGAAGGCACTGTTGCTGGTGGCGGTTGGTAGGTATCTTCTTTTCTTTGAAAACTGCATGGCGTCGTCGTAGTTACTGTTCATCTGGCCTTGCTTGCCCCCGGCACCCTGGAGAAGACTGATGGTCTCCACGCCGGCGCCCGACGCCAAGCCGAGGGAGCCACTCGGCTTCCCAGACAGGGACTTCTGTCCCACCATGTCTGGCAACGGTGACACAAAGTTCAGGTAGTTTTTGTCTGTGTTCTTCCTGCTTCCTTTCTTAAAGATGAGTTTTGGCACCCTTTTCTGAAGTTCATCGATACCACTGCCCAAGATGCCGCCGCTGGAAGACATGGCGGGCATCTCCACGGAGTAGGTCTGCATGTTTATACTGTTCGCGAGCTGCGATTCACTTGCTTTCCCAGCCTTGTGTTCCTTGTTTTCAACAGCTATGCTCTTGGACTTCGTTTTCCTCCTTGAAGAACTGCTGTTTCCCTGAGACAGCACAGCCAGGTTCCCCATGTTGCTATGGCTCGATGAGCCAGGTTCTGCGCTGGGGGCTCCCTTGGCTATGGCTTCCCCGCACGTGCGCCTGTGTTTCAGCAGTCTATCAGTCCTGGAAAAATACTGCTGGCAAGTGTCACACTTATATGGCTTTTCTCCACTGTGCGTCCTCTTGTGTCTCTCCATGTGGTACTTCTGGATGAACTTCATGCTGCACTGGTCGCAGCCGAACGGCTTCTCCCGGCTGTGGATCTTCTCGTGGCGCTGCAGGAGGTACTTCTGGATGAAGCCCATGCTGCACTGGCTGCACTGGAAGGGCCTCTCGCCGGTGTGAATGAGGACGTGTCTGCGCAGGTGGTAGGAGCTCCGGAAGGCCGCGCTGCAGTGGTCGCAGATATGAGGTTTCTGGCTTGGGGACAGGACCGCGCCTTCTCCGTCTCCCACCAAAGACGGCTTGGAGGATGCGCTGGGCTTCCTCTTGGCTTTGATTCCCTGAGATTCTGGCTTTGGCCTCTTCGCCTTCTTGACGTTCGTGTCCTGCTTTGGCTCCTCGCCGCTGCCGCTGCCGCCGCCGCCGCTGCCGCCGCCGCCGCCACCGCCGCCGCCGCCGCCGCCAAGCAGGGCGTCGCGGTGCTGCGGAGCCTGCGGCTGCTGGTGCAGGACGCTGAGGTCCTGGATGACGCCGGGGCCGCCCCCCTCGCCGCCGCCGCCCAGGCCCGGGGCCCGGTCCTCGGCGCCCGCGAACAGCCCCCCGTAGTGGTGGTGCTGCTCGTCCGGGTCGGCCGGCTTCTCCTGCTTGATACTGACCAGGGGCTGCAGGAAGCCCCAGGAGGCCCGCGGCGCCGGGAAGGCCGCGCCCGAGGCCGCCGGCTCCTTCTTGAAAGTCATGTCCGGGGCCGGCGGCGGGGGCGGCTCGGCCGGGGCCGCGGGGGGGGCGAGCACGCACTGCGGGGGAGGGGCGGCCGGGCCGGCCGGCCGGGCGAAGCTGGCGACCGGGGGCAGCCGGTGGTTGAACATGACCAGGCCCTGCGGGAAGCTGGGCTCCATCTCCGCCCGCCTGCCGGAGCCGCCGCTCAGGAACCCGCCGCCGACTCGCATGCCCCGGAGGAGGCCTGGCTGCGGAGGGAGAGGGGGACGGAGAGGCGGTGGGGCCGGGCCGCGGGACCCCGAGCCCCGCCGCCGCCCGCACTGCGGCCCGCGGCGCGCGCGCACCGCCCGCCCCCCTCCCGGCTCGTCCGCCCGCCCCGCGCCGCCCCCGCCCGCACTTACGGTCCCGCCGCCGCGCCGCCGCCGCCGCCGCCGCCTCCGGTTAATAAAAATAACGCCGTCCTCTCCACAATGGAATTAAAAGCCTCCCCCGCACTGCGCAGGCGCGGCGCGGGGTCTGCCGGGAGTGGCCGGCCCGGCCGAGGGGAGCGCAACGCGGACAGCGCGCAGGCGCCGCAGCTTCCGCCCGGCCCGCCTGTCAATCACCGGGGCGGTTGGGCGCAGGGGCGGCCCGGGGCTTGGGGGGCGGGACCTAGGGGGACCCTCCAAAGAGAGGCCTCCATGGCGGACAGACCTGATTGGTGGGCGGCGGTGAAGGACAGGACGTGGGGAGGGCCTGTGCGGAAGGCGCTCGGGAGGTGGACCCCCAGGGCGGGAGGTCCGGAGGGCGGGGCTCCGGGGCCGGCCGCGGGCGGGGGGAAACTGAGGCCTGCGCGCAAGGCGCGCTCCACTTTACGGTTTGCGGTCCAGGATTCAATCAAAGCCTAGACCCACGAGGGCTGCCCGAGGGCGCCTCTGACGCCACCCAGAAGTGTTCGACCCCAGCTGCCTAGTATGTAGTAAGTCACGTGGCTGGTGTTCTAGCGTGGGGACCCTTCTAATGGGCGCCCGTCCTTTGCATTTGCAGGAAGAGCCAACTTGGAAACCGCAATAGAGGTACCGTTGCAAAAAAAAAAAAAAAAAGTTGTCTTGCTGCCAACCTACCTGAAGGCTACAGGAAAAGGAACCGGCGTGAGCCAGGTGCAGCAGGCGTGTAAAACACGCCCACGTGCGGGTTCATCCTCGGAGGTTTAAATCCCACGCCGGCTCGGTCGGCCTGCCGAGTCTGTCTGCGGCGTTACGTGCCGCCCGGCCCCGAGGGTGACTCGTGGAGACCGGCCCCCAGGCCCCCGCTCGGTCCTTCCCCAGCTAGACCCCTGAGAAGCGCATGCAGAATTAGGGACCAGGCTAAAGTAACATCTTGAAATCAAAGCTAGATCAACAGAAATCAAACATCAGTGCCTAGTGTACACAAAGCACTCACTTTCATGTTAAGCATGCAAAAAATCTAATCCGGCAACTTTCCTAATAAAGTCCTGGAAATTTTTTCGTAAAAGAGAACGATAATAATAATTTATTTACATAGCATATTTTCTTAATGAAATGACCGGTCCACTTTCATCACAATATGTCTAGCTAAGTAAATTCTTATAATTCAATAATAAATGACTTCTCTTGAGATATTTCACCACTGAAACTATGAAGATTATTAACGAACCCTTATGGACCTCTCTGAGTCTGCTCAAATACTTACAGTATTTAATGAGCTTTTGGAGATAAGAAATACTAGTATTTTTCTAGCTCCAAGCAAGTACACATAAACATTCTGCCACTTGAACCGTGAAACTTGCATACTGTCAAATGTAGTTAAGTGTTAAAAGTAAGGCTGGAAATTCAGAAACTCCAGGCGGTGGTAAAATATTAGGCAGTGCGTATGAGAAATGAGGCTGTGCCTGCGTCCCGGGTGTCAGTGTTTAATGGGGAGCCAGATGCATATAAGCTAGTCCAACCATGAAGGGCAGTCGGACACTCATATGAAAAGCCAACTTTGTTCCTCAGTTATCAAGATAAGAAACCTGTCACTTCTCTCATTCACTCTGTCAGCCTTGAGACCCTGGGCGCAGACTCCCCCCCCCCCCGGGCTGTACCCCCCATACATCAGGAAGATGAAGAGACCCTGTAAAAGAAAACGGAGGGGGAAGCTGTTAACGCTAATCATTTCCGCAGCAGAAACACCTGAAATAAACTTTCCTGGGAACAGACAAAAGAAGACACACTTCATCAAGGTCAATTTACTTTTCTATTTTTCAACATTAGCCGCTGTACCTTGAGCATTTGTGAGATAACACACCGGCTCCTCGCTTAGGGTGCTGGCGCCGTTCAATGCCTTGGAAATAGGAAACAAAATGCCACCCTGAGCACATTGAATGTTAATTAAGAAAATCAGGATGCCAGTCTCTGGAAGAGACCTGGGCAAGGAAAAAAATTAAACTCAGAAAATGAGATCAAAGTAATCACAAATAGCTGGAAGCATCAGTATTTCTAAGCATGTTTTAGGCTACCGCAATTAGAATATATATTTCTCACTGTCTCCAATGGGGTAAACATGTTTTTAAGAATAAATGTATAACACAGCTAAAAGGATAAACTTAGGGTAAGAAATATGAATGGTTTTAAAATACCAGTTCAGGCTGAAATAATTTCACACGATCAGCTGTCGTAAAACTGCAGATGTTTTTACTGAATCCTATATACAATAAAAGTCCTCTGAATCTGCTATTTATTAGTCCTTTGCTTTATAAAATAATTAATTATAAAATGTAAATTAAATCTCACACTTAAATCTAAATTTTTTTTAAGTAAATAAAACTGATGTGGTTGAAACTTATTAGACATAATAGGGAGCAAGGAATTTTCTATGCAGTTTGGCCTTACAGAGGAAATACAAATCTACATTGTGCTTTTCTTGTTAGGTACTAATAAACCAAGTATTAAATAGGAGTCTGGACTAAAATCTGAACGTGGTACAAATAGGTAAGTAATATGACACTTTCAAAGGGCACATATTACAGGAATATTTTAACATGGTTTACCTCTGAATTCTTACATCTTACAGATAATGGAGACAATCCTAGAACAAGGAGATTGAATAAAACAGAAACAAGCTTTGTTCTAGTTAGTTCCTTTTAATAGACTTTATTTTTTAAGAACAATCTTAGATCTACAGAAAAATGGAGAAGATAGTGCCAAGAATTCGCATATATCCCACATCCGGTTTCCTGTCTCATCAACACTTCACATTAACACGGCACTTGTGTTACAATTACTCTCGTTAGTTTTCAATACTATCTACATAATGTTCTTCATTAAATTTATTGAGCGTCTGTATATTTCAGAGAGTGAAACTATTGCAGTACATATATGTATTTGTGTTCATGAGAAAGGTTAATAAAGAGTTTTCGAACACTAAAAAATTTTCATCTGAGTCACAGTCTTTTTAAATATTTAAGTGAGAGTCTTGTCACCGTGTTTGCACGACGTCCACAGCTCAGCCCCAGCACTCCAGGCCATCTGCCACACAGCCTTCCGGCCTCCAGGGCACTCAGCGAATTCAAGCTGCGTATGCAGGTCTCCTTTGGTAGGCTACTTGTTGGCCCGTCTTCTAGGTAATTCAAGAAAAATGTATTTCTTCTCTCATTTATGGAAAAAACATAAGGTAATGGACAGCCCTCCTTCCCTTAGACTTTATTTTGTACTGTGTTATATAGATATCAAATTAAGAGGGGTCACTCCAATTTTAATTCTGTTTACCATACAGGAGTATCTTGTTTTGTACAATAGATGAGTTCCTACTGTACCAAGCAATTTCCTGTAAATTGAATCATTGGCACTATGGTTTCTATACCTTAAGAAACTCAGCTGTTTACATGAACTGCATGTGACGCGTGGAAAATCAGCCATTCCGCGATGTGTGTGATCACGCCTATAATTCATCTGCTTTGTAAATTCAGTTTTCTCTAAAAGAAAAGAGAGTATTTAGAAATCACATTTTCCCAGGGTCTTGGTAAAGTGAGGAAGAATAGGGATCATGTCCCAATATTTTTATTCTGCATTCCACGTTTCCTGTTCTACATTTTAGATTTTAATATGTAACCCTTTGAAGTAATGTAAAAATGATCAACCATAGGAATCTCCCTTTTGAAAGAAGGATTTAGACTGAAAAGGGGCTTTAAAAAAAAGGCGGCTTCAATATGAAAAGTTTTTTTTTTTCCTCTTCTTTTTCTTCAACAGACACACCCTTGAGCACGTAACTGACAAGCCCCAGAAGGACCAGGTCTGAGGCCGGAAACCACCGCGGCGCCTCTGCCTTCCCTGCTCTCCCCTCGTCCGCCTCGTGCCCCCCAAGCAGGTGAAGGGCAAACCAGGAATGATGACAAGTCCAATCATCCTGTGCTCCACCCACGGTGGCTTTTGTCCCCGGATTTTGCAGGCTGTTGTGACCATGTGGACTTAACTCTCCTAAACTTCATAAAACCCTCACTATTCTATAAACATCCAATGTTTCCTATTTTCCAAAGAGAAGAAGCAAAACAAATGTTTTAAGTCACCGTGACAATGAGCCACTTTTCAACTCCTGCAGAAAGACCTCCTGTAAGAACAGCCAGAAGCACCCAACTGCCAAATTGCAACTGGCACTGAGGTTTCTGGAACTCCGCACCCCTACATTCTGTCCAACCAATGAGGGACCGCTGAAAGTGTGCCCCGCTGCCGACTTGCACGGGCCCTCACGCAGGCCAGCAGCTTCTGCTGGGCCCCCCATAGATGGATTCCTCCGTAGCAGAGGGGGTGTCTGTCTAGGGAGGGACCAGCTCTCCATGTTGTGGTCACAGCCAAGATAACGGTTGCTGGACAGGACACGTGCCCAGTACATCTGGGGGGCTGTAAGGTGTGCGCTCTGAATGGGCAGGAGCCAGGGACGGGGAAACACAGGGTGTTAGGCCTGATACTGTGCAGGCGTTAGAAAGAGCAACGTAAGAGCTCCAGCCGGGCAGCTCGGGCGGCGAGAGCCTTGTCCCACTAGGCCAAGGTTGTGGGTTCAGTCCCCAGTTAGGGCACCGGCTAGAATCAACCGGTGAGCGCATCAAAAAGTGGGACAACAAATTGATGTTTCTCTCTCTCTCTCCCTTCCTCTCTCTCTAATATCAATAGGTAAAAAATTTTCTTAAAAATATAAGCAATCTTTCATCATCTCTCAGGTTTTTTAAAAAATAGAAACGTAAGGGGATGAGAGAGGGAAAGTCATACTCATTCATTTCATTTTTATCTACGAGACAGTAAAAACAGGCAGCTTTGTGAAGTTCCCGCTGCGACAGAAGTCCACGAGCGATGTCTACCCGCCGTCTCAAAGGCTGCCATCTAGTCTGTTATTTCTATATTGGTTGTCCTGTTCTTTCATAACACACTGCACGAAATCAGTCTCCTTTTAAGTGGTAATACG